TCAGCAGATTCATCTCTGGAACAAGTAATGCTAAATCAGGAGATCTTATGGATTTTTTTTTATGGCGTGACAGAGACTATCCATTCCTTTATAAATAACAAATGTAATAATTATAATAATAAACTTATTATTGTTATTTAAAAGAAAAAAAAATAATAAAATTAAACGAATAAAAAAAAAAAAAAACCTTTTAATAAAAAAAACCCATCATTTATAAAGACCTCTTTTTTTTGATAGAGTTAATCTTTTAGAAAAATTACAAATTTTGTAAAATGTGTTATATTAAAAGAGTTGTAAAATGAGATAAAAATAAAACAGTAATCCAAAAAAAGAAAAGTCAAAAATAAAAAATTCTTTTAAATCTAAAAATAAATGCAATTGAAAGATGACATAATAACAATAAAATTAAATAAAATTCGTAAAAATAATTTTAAATCTATTAATAAAATTAAATAAAAATACAATCACTTGTGAAAAAATAATTTGTATATGGTTTTTTTTTTAAATAAATTAATAAATAAATACAAATTTTGTTTTATTTCTTTTTTTTTTCTTTTTTTATTGATATTTTTAATAAATTTTACAAAATTATTATTTTTAATATAACTACTATAAATTTTATCTTTTTTTTTTTTTTTTTTTCTTTCTTTCTTTTTAGACTGAAGACAAGGCCATTAATACGATGCCTCCAATTAAAATTGAAAATGATACAAATAAAATTATAAAATTTCTTAGACCTGTAATTTCTCTAAAATAAAAAATACTCCAAAGCGATGAAACAATCATAGGACCTGAACAACTAATTGGATAACCAACTGTATAACCTAAATTCTCTGTTGAAATCATCAATCCAATATTTGCAACACCCAAAACGACGCCGCTGCAGAATGAAGGTAAAATTGTTTGTGGATAAATCTGAGGTGGTCTTTTAATAATAGTGTATAATATAAATACAAATGTATTTGCTAAAAATATACCTGAAAATTGTGAAAATGTATAATCCAAAGGATTTGCATCTGGGTTTCTTTGCTTCCAAAGTTGCATTGGAATCATATTTACACCTATTTAAATAAATAAGATTAGTATTACTATTTAAATTATTAACTGTCAATTGATTACATACCTAAAAGTATACCAATAACAAGTGCAAAAACAACACCTGAAACGGTTTTCAATCTATTTGGAATACGGTCATAAATAGACACCTCATAGTTTTTAATTTGTGTCTGGGTATTAACAATAAGAGGTGAATTGATTTCTTCATCAGATATATTTGAAAAATCATCGTATGATCCATGATAGTTTCCTTTGGTATCTGCTTTTTTCTCTTCTTCTAAATTAGGTTTAATGAAAAAGAAGAATATAACTGATAAAATAATACCTGCAAGTCCTAAATAATTCATCCAATCATGTGCCGCTGCTGCTTCTTTTAATCCGAATAAACCTGCTTTTCCAACAATAAAACCTGCTACAATACCAATACTGCTATATAACAAAACTGCAAGTCCCAATCCTAACAATTTAATGGTTGGTATAACTAAAAGATTTGCACAACACCATAATGAACCCTAATTTTGATATGTTTAAAAAAAAATGAAAAAAAAAAAAATTTTAATATTTTTGAATTATTTTTAAAAGAAAAAAAAAAAAAGTTTTATATAAAATTCTTACCCCTAAAAGTCCCCATGGATCAAAAATAAAAATTTTTAGAGATACCCATTGCTACAAATGCACAACAAAACATACCAACAGATAAAAAGTATGCAAATGCTATCCCATTTCCAACCGGATACTTTTTAACTAATATTAGTTAAAAATAAAAGAAATCAATTAATTAGAAAAATAATAGATTTTTTAAAAAAAAAAAAAAAACATACCCGGCACATAATTAGACCCAAATCCGACTATAGCCACTATGGACGCTATATATCCAATTGCCATAGAATTTACCATTGCTTGTATTCTATATGTATATCCAATTTATTTTCTTTCAATAAATAATTAATTCGAATTTTTTTTTTTTTTCTTTGGTAACCAAAAGAGTATTTTTTTTAATTTTTTTCTTTTTTTTTTTTCTAAATAAAAAATTAATAAAAATATAAAAAATTATTTTAATAAAATCTAACAAACTAAATTATTTTATTTTTTTATTTTTTTATTTCAATTTTTTTTTTTATTTTTTATTTTTTAAGATGGGTGGGATTTTTTTTTATTTTTTTTTTTTTAAGATGGGTGGGATTTTTTTTAATACCAAGCATTATTTTCCATATTAATAAATAGATGGCATCAATTAAGCAAACAAATTCATATATTTACCCTGATCTTAGCCTATATTTAGGTGTCCACGAAATGATTATTTTTTCGTTTTTGTAATTTTGTGTGTGAAATTATAAAAAAAAAAAAAACGAAAAGGAATAATTTATTTGTTGTATATAATGTAAATAAAAAAAAATAAAAAAAATTTTGAAAGCAAAGCATGAATAAAAAAAAAAAATAAAAAAAAAAGATATTGTTAATTATAAATAAATGCTGATATAGACAGAACAAAGAAGATACTTTTTCCTCATAGAACAAAAAGAACACTTCAGCCGTTTAAAAAAAAATATAAAAAAAATAAAAAAATTAAAAAAAAAAAAAAAATTGAATTTTATAAAATTCATTTTACTTTTTTTAAAGAATCAAAAGTATTCAAAAACCAAATTATATGTATCTCTTAATAAAAAATAAAATTATAAAAGTAAAGTGATTTAATAAACGCTAAGATTTTTTTTTTTAAAATATCTTTGAAAGATTTTTAAATAAAATATTTGATTAAGTGGGTATAATAAAAAAATTATCACATTGTATTGTTAATAAAAAGGTTTTAGTTTATTAGCATAAATAAATAAAACTTTAAAAAAAAGTGATTATTGTATTATCAATTAACAATTATTGTTTTCTAATATTAGATGGAAATTAAAAGTCCACACAAATAATTAGTTCCAATTTAAGATTTTTTTATTTTCATTTTTTTTTTTCGCTTCTAAAAAAATAAACCTTTTTGTAAAAATAATAAAAAAAAAACATTAAAAATAAAAATAAGAAAAAAAATAAATTTTTAAGATATGGAACTTTTTTTGATAATTTTAAAAAAATATGTAAATATCTTGAAATTATGTTTTTTTAAAAAAAACAGAAAAAATTTTAATCAAAAAAAATATAAATATTAATTTTTAATTGTTTTTTAATATAATAAATTTATTTATGTATTATAGTTTTATTTAAAAAGTTATAATGCATAAATAAAATGACATTATTAGCAAATTATGTTTATGATATTATATTAAATAATATACTTTCATATATTTATAATAATGATTATTTAAATTTTAATCATTTAAATTATCATCATTCAATTGCACCATTTTATATTATTTCAAATAATAATGAAGTTATTCAGTATAGTTTAGTGTGCAAAAAATGGTTTCAATTGGTTTCTCAAATATTACCAGGGCTAGTTACACATCTAAATAATGATACATTGGGTTTTTTAATGGAAAAGCCATCATTACCATCACCAAATCAAGAGGTTTTAGAACAGCTTCAAAAGTCACAACCTGATTCAGCACATCATGAAAAACAAAACTATAAATTAATTAAATTATCAGATTCAACCAAAACTTGCAGATCAATTAGGGATAATGATCAAGAATTAAAATCTCAAGTAGCTAATAGTTATAAAAAATTATATGTAGATGTAGAATATGATGAAACTGAAGAATTTCTATCAAATATCAATAATTATCCAAATAATTGCGAATTTAAGTAAATTAAATAATATATTATTGATTTTTTTTCAAATTATTTTGATGTTAGAAAATTTGACAGTGATTCTATAAAAAAAATTAGATCTTTAGAAGTTAGTCTGTGTTCCATTGCAGAAACTATTCCTCTACTTAACATTGAGCTTAGATCTCTCGAATGTTATTTTAATCGTTACAGTGCTGCAAAAATTGAAATAGAATTTTTTTCTTCAGAGTTTCAAACCATTCAATTCCCAAATTTAATTAAAGAACCAAAAGATAATAGTAATGAAAATATTTCACCAAATTTAAATAATAGTAATAATAATAGTATAACCAGTAACAGTAATATATCTTCAAGTTCATTATCAAAATTAGAAAATTTATTTTTTTCATTTGATATATTCAAATTATTTACAGGAATGATGAATATTAATTCAACAACAACTAGTGACCAAATTGAAAGCCAATTTGGTAATATTATTAATCAATTATCAAACGATAAAACTCTTAAAAAATTAAAAATAGCTCATTTTTGTAAGGCTGAATCTTGTATTTGTAAACCTGGTCCATTAGGCTTTGAAATGGTTTACTCTGGTATAAAAACAATTATTGCTAAATCCACTTCAATTCAATCATTTGGTATCAGCTTTGCCAATGAAAAAGTTAACGATTCAATTATTCAAAGTATGATTGAAAATAAATCTATTAGAAATCTCATTCTCCATGGCTTAAATGCCGCAACCATTATCGAAAAGGTTTTACCATTCAATAGATATATCAGAAATTTAACTCTCACTCTCAATGAAACTGATGACATTAATTTAATTTTAAACTCTTTAAATCTATTATCAAAATCATCTATAGATTTATATAGTTTATCTTTAGTATTTGTCTATAATCATTTAAATACCGTTTTAGAATCAGTCTGTAATTTAAATATATCAGTTAAAGAAATTAGCATTGATGCTTCAACCACCGATAGCACCATAGTTCGAAGTGATTTTAATGAAGAGTATGAAAGAACTATATTTTATAAAATCAATCACAATCATAATAGTAATATTATTATAAATGTTTTTACTTTAGACTATACCCCAATTAGTAAATAAATAATTAAAATAAATCTTTTTGGTAATTTTTAAAAATGTTTTTTTTTGGTAATTTTTTAAATTTACATTAAATTTTATTTAGTTTTACATAAATTTAATTACATGAAATAAAAAAAATATCTCAAATTTTATAATGACTCATCACCAATATTATATTTTATCTTTAAAAAAAAACATAAATAAAACACATATTTCGAAATATTTGCCAGCATTTTTTTTTTTTTTTTTTTAAAAATTTTTTTATTTTTAAAAATTATTTTTTTAATTTAAAACTTTTTTTTTTTATTTTTAATTTTTAAGTTTTTTTTCTAAATTTTTACTTTTAATTAATATTTTTTATTTTTTTTAATAATATAGTTTTAATAATAATTTTTTTTTTTTTTTTTTTTTATAAACGCATATTATAATTATAAACGCATTAATGTTCAAATAGAAGAAAAAAAAAAAAACAAAAAAAAAAAAAAAAAACATATAAATTATTATAATTATAATAATAAATAATAAAAATGTATTTTAAAAAAAGGAATAAAATTAATTTTATTTTTTTTATATTATTTTATTTATTAATATCAAGTGATTTTATAAATGCTTATTCTAATATCATAAACGAAAACAATAGTAATAATAAAAAGAATAGAAATAATAATTTAAACGATAACGATAAAATAAGAAATGATATTTTCAAAGATTTGTTTGTATTTCTAAAAATAATAATAATAGTAAGAAATAATAAAGCAAAATACTAATATTTATATTGTTTTCTGTTCAGGTCATTAATAATTAGCACAGTAGATGGTGGGTTGTATTCATTCGATTATGAAACAGGTTCATTAAATTGGAATATAAATCCAAATGATGGGGATTCTCTATATACAACCTCACAATTTAGTAATAATAATAAAAACAATAACAATAACGAGGAGGTTGAAAAGGCAACATCTACATCACTATTAATACCCACTATCGATGGTAGTGGCGCTTTATTTCAGTATTCAGAAGAAGGTTCATTACAAAAAGTACCATTTTCATTACATGAATTGATATCAACATCACCATTGTTTTTAAAGGATTTAAGTAGTGCTAAAGACGACACAATGTTGATTGGTAACAAACAAACATCGATTACTGTTGTAGACTCTACCACTGGTCAAGTCATAAAGTCAATGTCAAAAGAAGGTTTGTGGGAAGAGGATTGCCCTGTAAATATTCCAGATGAAGCTTTAATGTTCACTAGATCTGACTACAAGGTTATTGCATTGGATCCTAAAAGCGGCTTGGAGAAATGGAATTTATCAATTGGTGAATATATACCCTACTCGACTAAAGCAACTTTTAATGGTAATGCTTTTATAATTACTTTATTTTTAAAAAGAAAGAAAACTAATATAAATTTTTTTTTAATATTAAAGCTGACTCGCTAAGTTTTGAGGGCTCTATTGAAGTTTCACCAGCATCACACCATAGATATAAAATTACTGTAAGACAACAAAGAACTGTTGTTGGCACATCAAATATATTTTGGGAATTTGTATTATCATCTTCACCAGTTTCAGTGTATGCATTCTCAAATAGAGGTGGTATTTTAAAGAAACTAGAGTTTTCAAGAAAAACCTCGCACCCATCTTCCCTACAACCAATCAATACAAATACAGATTTAATAATACCCAGCTCATTCGAAAGAACATTTTTATTTGATGACTTTAATGGTCAGTTCTTTATTGAAAGATTTTTAATTTCAGATGGTAACAAACCAAACAATAATAACAATAATAATAATCATAATAATAATAATAATAATAGAAATAATCAAATTATCTCAAACAATGAAAATTATAGAAATAAGGATGATAAAAATCAAAATAATATCTTTTCATATGATATTTATTTATATTCATCAATTATAATTTTAATAACCAGCGTAATAATATTTATAAGATCAAAACATAACTTTAATTTAATAAATTTAAATAGTAATAATACAAATAATAATAAGAGTAGTAAAAAGACACCAAAGAAAAAAAAGAAACAGCAACAACAACAGCAACAACAACAACAACAAAAATTATTAGAAGAAATTGAAGAAGAAAACGAAGAGAATAATTTAATTCAACAACTTCAACTTAATAATAGTAATAGTAATAATTTTAATTATAATAAAAGAGTGGTATTGGAGAATGGTAATTTGAAAATAGGTAAATTGGAAATTGCTACCAATAAGGTATTAGGTACTGGGAGTTGTGGTACAATTGTATATCAAGGTTTTATGGAGGGAAGAGTGGTAGCCGTTAAAAGAATGTTAAGTCAATTTATAAAGTTTGCCGATAGAGAAGTCTCAATTTTAATCCAATCTGATGAGCACACAAATGTTGTTAGATATTATGCTAAAGAAGAGGATGATGAATTTATTTATTTAGCAATTTCATATTGTCAAGGTTCATTAGATCAATATGTTCAGCAAAAATTATTCCCAGCCGATAGTGTACCAGCAACAACAAATAATAACAATGGTATAAATAACTCACCTAGTTTACAATCAATATCACCAACAATCATAATCCTTGACCAAAAAATTAAGAATATGATTTATGAGTTATTTAAAGGTTTAGAACACTTACACTCACTAAATATTGTACATAGAGACATTAAACCCCAAAATATATTAATTGACCCAAATAATCGTATAAAAATATCAGATATGGGTTTAGGTAAAGCATTGGATAGAGACGAAGCATCACTTACTTTTACATCGGATAGTCATGGTTGGCAACCAGCCGAATATCTAAATGGAACTAATAGAAATACTAAAAAGGTCGATATTTTCTCCATTGGTTGCGTTGTATATTATTTGTTAACTGGTACCCATCCATTTGGCCAAAGATTCAATAGAGAAAAGAACGTACTTAAGGGTAAATTTGACATCGAGCTCATTGCGGACAAACCAGACTTGCATCAATTAATCCAGTCAATGATACAATTTAATCCAGATAAAAGACCAAGTATTATAGAGTGCCTAAATCATCCATTCTTTTGGGAGTCTCACAAGAAGTTATCATTTTTAGTTGCTGCTTCGGATTACCTAGAGTTTGAAAAACCAACTAGTCCTCTTAATGTTGAAATTGATAGCCATATCGATTTGGTAACAGATGGGGATGGAGACTGGTGGTTAAAATTCGACCAGGTATTAATCGATAACATTGGTCGTTATAGAAAGTATAATGGTAAAAGCATTAGAGACCTCTTAAGGGTCATTAGAAACAAATTCAACCACTACAGAGATCTTTCATTGGACGAGCAAAATTGTTTAGGTTCTTTACCTGATGGTTTTTTAAATTATTTCGAATCAAAGTATCCAAAACTATTCATTACAACTTTTTTGTTTGTTTCTAAAAATTTAAAAACTGATCAATATTTTTTACAATATTTTTAAATAATATAAATGAAATAAATAATATAAAATATTTTTGTAATATTATTATAAATATAAAAAAAAAAAAAGAAAAAAAAAGATTTATCTATATTTATAATTATTTTTTATTTGTTAACTTATATTTTGGTTATTGCTACTTGAGGGAGTTGATTTAAAAAATCTAACTTTAAATACATATAGTACACTTAATAAAAATACAAATAATCCAAAATAAATTAAAAATTTATCAGTCATATCTCTTCTTTTTAATTTTGTCAATAGTGATTTTGCCTCGGTTGTCTTTGAACCATATTCTATTTGTTGTTGTACTGTTTTATCTATAACCTTTGATGATTCATCTAATTCTTTTAAAATATCTTCACTTCTGCTAACCTGTGAGTTCATAAAGTTTCTAGTTCTTTGAAGTTTATTTGTTAATGACATTGATGTTTTTAAAATATCTGATTTTGAACTATTGAAAAAAAAATTTAGTATTTTATTTAAACTAATTTCATATTATATAATTACTATTATTATTATTTTTATTGTTGGGTTATTATTATATTATTAATTATTATTATATTGAATGTAAATAATAAATACTTTTGGGATGAATAAAATCTTGATTGTTGCGTTATTTTTTCACTTCCTGACAAAAGCATTTTTTTATTTTGTTTATAATTCTCTTGTAAGTTTTTTGATGTTTCTAAATTTGCTTTTCTCTGTAAAACTTTTAAACTATAAAATTTAAAGGAAATGATAATTATTTAGTATGATAAAGGATGATATTAAAAAATTAGTGTTAAGTGTATACTTTTCATATTCTTCTTTATGAAATTTTAATTCTTTTCTAAATTGTTCTATCTCTATTGTGTTATTATTTCTTTCAAAAAGTTTTTCGTTTGCATCTTTTAATAATTGACCTAATTGTTCTAAATTTGATTTAATTTCAGTATTTATATTTTGAATTTCTAACATTGATTTACATTCTGTTAATGTTTTAAAATTATCCCTAATTAAATATTCTAAATTATTAATATCATTAAATAAAATTTTAATCATTTTATTTATGTATATATAAAAATATTTTCGTTTATATTTATATAAATGAAAATAAATAAAAAAAATAAAAAAAAGAAATAATAGTTTAATTTAAATGAAATGGATTTTTAAAAAATAAAAAAAAAAATTTTAAAAAAATAAAAAAAAAATTTATTTTGAAAAAAAAAAATTTTTTTATTTATTTTTTATTTATTAATTTATTAATTAATTTGAAATAATAATAATATATTTATAAAACCAAATTAATCAATTTGTTGTTATATTGGGAAAAACAAAAAGGATGAACTTCAAAAGAATAAAATAAAAAAAATAATATTATTTGAAAAAAAATAAAAAATTTTTTTGATTTTTTTTTAATTTTTTTTAATTTACAATCATTTTTCATAATTAAAAAAAAATAATTAAATTATTTTTTTTAATCCATCACAACAAAAATGATTGTAAATTTTACAAAATGTTTTAAATTAAATAAAGCTATTACAAACAATATCAGATTTTTAACATCATCTTCAAAACAATATAATAGTAATATTAATAATAATAGTAATTCATTTTATAATAAAAGATTATTTTCAACATCAAATCAATCAGATAATAAAAATGATAATGATAAAAAAGAAAATGAAGAAAAAGAAAACAAACAAACCCAAAATGAAGACAGTAAATTAAAAAATGAAGATTACTCAAAATTAACAGAAAAAGAAAAAGAAGAAAAGATAAACAAGTATTTTGAAGAAATTGATAAATATCATAAAGAATTAGAAGAAAACAAGGATGAAAAAGATGAGAATGACGATGGCGAGGAGATGGATGAAAGCAAAGAGTTTCCATCAGGTTTAGAAAGAAGTTCGTTGATTGTTGAAGATGATAAAAAGAATACTACTCATAAAATTGTTTCAGATTCATTAGAGATATCGGTAATTGATGGAAGAGCAAAGTTTATGGAAGGAAATAGATCAATTTTTTCATTTTTTTCATTCTACTCCTCTTATTTGCCAACCAGAAACATTCCATTATTAAACCCATTCATCCATTTCTGCAAAGAACAATGTAATTATATCTTTAAAAACAATCCATTCTTTATTGTTATGGTCCACTGTTTAAATTCAAAATTATTAGTAACCGAACTTTACAATCGTCTCAATGAAACACCAATACCATCAAATTTTACTAAAGAAGAATTTTTAGAAGGTATTTAATTATTATTTGATTAATTTAGATTTGATAAAGATAAAAATACTAATATTTTATAATTTTTTTTTATAGAATCGTCCAAAGCCTTAAAACAAATTTATAAATTAGCAGAGAACCAAAAATCATTAGAGCTACAAAAGATTTCTTGTATCCCAGTAACATCAAGTTTACTTTCAATTAGAGATGTTTATTACACAATAGATCGTACTACTGGTTTAGATTTTAGCGTACAAGATGTTTCGATTGATAACTTTGAATTTGAACCAATTGATTGCAAGGCATATTACACCATAAGCGAAGAGTATTTAAAAATAGAAGCAACCTACAAAGTAGTCTCTGAAAAATATAGCGAACAATGTAAAGAAAACCCAGTTACAGTAAGAGCAAATTGGACTACCTACTTTAGAAATGAAGCTGACGAAGAAATTGATTGGAAAATATTTGGTATTGAATTTTTTACCGATTTTGATCCAAAATAAATAAAATATAAATATTAAATAAATAATAAACAATAATAATAGATTAATAAATATTATTATTATAATAACAAGATATTAAAACTATATGTTCGATTATTTTTTTTTTTATATAGCTAAAGATAATATTTTAAATATAAAAGAAAATCTTTTTATTGGTTTTATGTTTGTTTAAATTTATACATATATACATTTATTGGTTTATTATTTATTATTTATTATTTATTTATTATTTATTATTATTTATTATTATTTATTATTTATTTATTTATTATTATACATTTATATTTTTAATCATCAAAAAAATTTTGTAATTGATAATCATTGATTTTAAATTCTTTACGTAAATGTTGAGTATTTGGTAGCGGGATATTACTATTGATTGATTTATTGCTTGTGACGCTACCATTGCTGTTTGTACTACTTCTTATGGAAGAACCAACACTAACAGTACTTGCTTTCATTGATTCAGTTTCTTGAACAAATTTTAATAAATCGTCTTCTGAAACAGTTCGTTTAAATAAATCGTCGTCATCCAAAGTTTTTTTAACAGCTTGGGGTTGGTTTTGATCAATGAAAATCTTTTTATCTTTTTTCTTTTGATTTTCAAAGAGTTGATCAATATAATCCTGTGTTTCCTTTCTATTCTTTTCAATTTTTCTTAACTCGCTTTCTTCCTTTTCAAAATCAAAATCAAAATCCATATTAAAAGATGGTTGCTTTTCTAATATTGGTGTACCAAAGATATCAATTTGTTGTGATTTTTGTTGGGTATTGAATTGTTTAATTAAATTGTTGTTTTTAACGGGACTGATATTGACTTTGATTGGTTCAAATTCTAATTGAGGTCTTACTTTTCTTTGTTTATTCTCTGGGAAATACAAATTTGATGTTCTTTTGTTTGGGGAGGTTTTTAATTTATCTTTTGAGGGCTCGCTTGCCCACCATGAAGGAAGTTTACGAGTTGGTGTTCTGTTGTTATTACTGGTATTTACATTTGAATGTGGTGGAGATGAATTTGGTGAAATTGATTGAGGGGATGATGAAAATGGAGATGTTGGTGAAATTGCATATAAATGATTGCAGTGTTGAACCAATGTGACGATATGTTTACATTTACCATAAGTTTTTGAGCCACTTGGACAATTACAACTTGTTTCTAAAATTGGTGAAAGGTTTTCGTTGCTATTTTTTATCCCCATTTTGGCCCTGTATCTAATTGAAACTACATAGGGTTGGGCACCAGTTCCTTGACAAAATGAATTTACTCTCACCGAATTACCACCAACAACTGTACATTCTAAACATGATATTCTTGAATTGGATTCTTGATAATAATCATAGCCTCTTTTAATACTTGAATCATCGCAACCAAAATCTTTTAAACACTTGACATTAACATGAGGCAAAAAACCTTTTTCATATAATCTAATACCTTGGCTATTATCTATTATTTGATCCTTTGGAGCTGGTTTCGTTTCTTCTTTTTGAAGTTGTTGTTGATCAATGTTTTCTTTGTCACCATCAGCCTCGTCATTGACTAATGATGGGAAAAATGCACCATGAACTTTCCCAAATGATAAAAACTCTTCGGTTAAAGATAAATGATTGTTATCAGTCTGTGATACAGATAAAGATTTAAATTTCGAAAATAAAGGTATTCCCTTTTCAATCTCGATTTCGCCACTTTCATTAAACTCTACAAATTGAACATTTTCTATAAATGATGGTATATTGATTGAGTTTTCAATAAGATGATTTGATCTAAATTTAAAAAAAAAAATTAGAATTTTACCACCTTTTTAATATAATAAATTATAACTTACATCTTGTTATCAGATTTCCAGTTATTTAATTGAAAAAACTTGGAAGCTAAACAAATATTAAAAGGCAAATTTGAAATTGTTTTTAAATCACTATCGTCAATAATGAAAACTGATGAAAATAATGATAGTCTATGTCTATGGTGAGCCCATGCAATTAAACCTAAATCATTTGGAAATCTATAAAAATCGGTTTCAGGTAAATCTTTTGGACAACTAAAATAATAAAGTGGTGCTTGAATTTGCTTTGATAATTCTGAAAAACAATTCTTTATCATTTCTCGATAAAGATTTAAAACTTGTTCGTTTTCATTGTCTAGTGATATTGGAAATAATGAAACCTCATCTAATAAAACAATTACCCTTCTATTAACTGAACTTTTTATCCATTCTTTAATTGAAATATAACATTTATCTTTTAATTTAATATTCCATTGAAGTGTATTTTTATTATTATCATTATTGTTATTATTATTATTATTATTATTATTATTATTATTTATAAATTCTATAATTGCTCTAGAGTCTAAAAATAAACCAATATTTTTAAATTTCTTATCCATAAAATGATTTTTGGTGATGTTGAACGAAAGTGGTACTGTAATATCCTTTACATATGTGAATCCATCATAAGAGTATGGCTGCTTATATTCGAATTTAAATGTTTCTAGATCTATTTTTGCAGAATCATTGGTTTGATTATTTGTGTTTGATGATAAAGATTTTTCGCAATCATTCCATGCACTGCTCCACTTTAATTGTAATTCGCCACCCTCAGGAATAAAATTAAATAAAACTATCTTTGAAACTGGTACTTTATTCTTTTCTAATGCTGAAAGATAACTTTCTCGTACGGTTGCCAAATGGTTTGTGTCGTCAACTAATACATTTTTACCTTCTCCTAATGGTTTTAAGACATAGTTGGTTATTATTTTATTAAATGATATTAACTCTGAATTATTGTCGCTTTCGTTCTTATTTCTATTAAATTTATTAAATAATTCTTGTGCTGATACCCTTTCGTGTGTTTTGCTATAGTTTAATTGATAGTAGAATGTTTTACCAACAAAATGTGGTCCACATAATATTATTAATTCTCCTGCACCTGTTTGGTAATTTAAATTATATTTATGATTAACTTTTAATACTGTTCTTTGCGACGGTGATATTTGTTGTGATTGTTGTGATTGTTGTGATTGCTGCGATGGAGAAGTCTGTAATCTTTGTGGGGAGATATTATTTTGAGATAATGAGAAATTCATTTTAAATGAATTTAATTTTTTAAAATTTTAAAAAAAAAAATTAAAAAAAATAAAAAAATATTTTTTATTTATATTTATAAAACAAAAAAATTATTATTATATTTAGAAAAAAAACTTGAACAAAAAATAAATAATTAAATAAATAAATAAATAAATAAATAGAAGAAAAAAAAATAATAAATACAAATAAAAAAAAATCTGAATTAATTTAAAAAAATAAAAAAAAAATTAAAAAAAATAAAAAAAATATTAATATTAAAAAAAATGGAAATTTTTTTATTTTTATAAGAAATTATATTTTTTATAGTATTTAAATATTTGTGCGAAAATAACAAATTTTTTTATTTTTTTTCCAAAAAAGAATTTTTTGTTTATTATTCCATCATCATCATTTGATCTTTTAAGCCTAAAAAATAAGAACTATAAATACAGTCATTTAATAAAATATTTAAAATATCTTTACGATTATTATATTTAATGAAATTTAGTGTTGTTTCATATATAGAAAAATTTCCAGAATTATTATTTGTAGATGGTACATTTTTGAATAAATTTATTAATTTAAAATCACCAGTTTTAATTGAATTATTGATTACATCTCTTGATACCCCCAAGTAACCAATCTCTTTAAATAAATATTCGGCAATGTGTGTATACCCTTTTTCGGTAACCCAATTTAATGATCTATAGCTGAGCTGAACCCGAGGATCTTTATTTTTAAATTTCTCTACAATAAACTGAGCATATTCTAACTCTCCATTATATGCAATATGAAATGCAATATCGTCGAATTTGAAACCATCATCTTTGTCAAAAATATATTTAAATATTTCAAAAGATGTGTTTTTTGACATATTTTTAACTTCACTATAAAACTCTTTGTCAATGAATTGAAATAAAGTAAAATCTTTTTCAACAAGAGCATTGCTTTTTAAACCTACCCAATTGAAGTTTAGAGATGGGGTAAATTTATTTTGCATTTTTAACAAATATTTTAGAGATTCCGTATTTGATACACTTTTGATTACTATATTAGAACTTGTTTTCAATGGGATATTATTACTAATATAAAAATCAAGTAAAGGTTTATAATGATCGATACTATTAAAATTTAAAAAATTAAAATTTGAAAATGGAAAGTGGGGTGGTGTCAAAACCCCATTTATTACAAAATATGTATACACCCCAACATGCTCCATCCCTTTATAAAAACGAATTTTTTTATGGTCCTCTATTTTTTGATTTTTAAAAAATTTAACATAAACCTCTGCCATTTCTAATGAATCTTCGCCCATGATATATAACAATAAAGTTTTTCGCTGTAACCATTCTTTACTTGAATCATTGAGTGTATCTAAACTATGAATAAATAAAGTTTCATATAAATGAATTTGTTTAGTTTGAATTGCTTTACATAAAACCAAAATGGGTAATGATGTTTCTTTTCCGTTATTTTCGCATAAAGGATACTTTTTAAATGATTCCAAAATGAACTGTAAATACTCGTTGCTTGGTTTTAGTATCACCAATAGCTCTATTAGATCTGAATAGCATTCAATATCAAATCTGAAATCTTCATTATTAATAAAATATTCAACACGTGATTTCTCTTTACATAAAACCAAATAATCTAAAATATATTCAAAGCTTTTTGATACATTTCTTAATAATTCTTTGTAGTTTTGGTATATTTCAATAAAAATTTCTAATGGTATAAAAGTTGATTCAAAAAAATATCTTAAATTCTTTCCATTTAATATATCTATAAAAACCAAATCACTCTTTTCTCTATCACCAACATAATTTCTATAATATTTATAGCTTTCATATTTCAATTGAAATAATTTTTTATTAGAAAAAATATAATACAAGTCGATATCCTCCAAAAGTTTATATTGAGAATTTCTTTTTTTATTTATTTGAACAAATTGAAATATTATATTTGATAAAAATTTGTTATTAAAAACCTTTTTATATAAATCATACATATTATGATTATAAAATAAAAAATGAAAAATTAAAAAAAAAATTATTTAAAAATCAAAAAAAATAAAAGAAAAAAGAAAGAAAAATATTAAAAATGTAAAAAATAAAAAACATAATAAATTTTATTATTTAAAATAATCTTTTTTTTTTTTAAAAAAATTATATATAATAATATATAATAGAATTAATTTGTTGCAAATTGATTGGTTTTAAAAAAAAAATTTTACAGTATTCTTTTTTTTTTTTTTTTTTTATGATTTGAAAAAAGGGAAAAAAAAAAAAAAACTATTTATTATTTTATTAACTATAAAACTATTATTATTTAATTATGTTGTTGGATTTGTTGTGGTAATTGTGTTTGTATATTTTGTTGTTGTTGTTGCTGTTGTTGTTGTTGTTGTATATTTTGTGGTTGTTGATTTTGTTGGTTTTGTTGGCTTTGTTGATTTTGTTGATTTTGTTGATTTTGTTGTTGTTCGCTATCAATGTCCAAAAATGATAAAATCCAATGATCATCCTCATTTGTACTAGGCATTGGATTATTGCTATAACCTCCACTACCACCACCTGCTGCTAATAATGGTGTTAAATATTGGGTATTTGGGTTTGGTGCTTGGGATGATGGTGGTGCTTGTTGTTGTGATGGAGGTGGGGGTGGTGGTAAATGAACCTGTTGTATTTTATCTACACTATTGTTTATATTATTGCTATTATTAACTTCGCCTTCAGGTTTTTTATTTAAATTATTATTAGTATTGTTATTATTATTATTTGTATTATTTGGATTCGAACTATTATTTTCATTTATTTTTTGTGATTCTGAAAAATCATTCATTTGATTAGCTGCTTGATCAATAAATGGTACCTGTACTGGGGATGAGTTTTGCTCTTTAGTGGTTGGTGATTGTGGTTTATTTAAATTGTTGTTGCTATTATTGTTGTTATTGTTATTATTATTATTTGTATTTTTTGGTGAAAGTTGTTGTGGTAGTTGTGGTTGTTGGTGTTGTTGGTGTTGTTGTTGTTGTTGTAATTGTTGTTGTAATTGTAACTGTTGTTGGTGTTGAAGATGATGCATCATTTGATTCTGTTGCATCATTTGGTGTTGAATATAATGCTGATGCATCATATTATGTTGTACATTTTCATATTGTGTATATGATACTCTTCTTTGATCGTTCATGTTTTGCTGCATTCCCATTATAGCTGGGTCCATAGGGCCATATGGTGAATAAGAGTGTCTTCTTTGTTCACTTTGCATGTTTAAAATTGCACTCATATCATAGTTTGCAAATGGTATAGTGCCGTTAGATCTTATAGCGTTATTATTTTCTTCGTTTAATTGTGGTGTTGATGATGGTGATGGGTTATTATTTACAATTGGTGAGCTATTACTATTATTACTGTTGTTACTATTATTATTGGAGCTTGGGCTAGCAGTTGTATTATTTGATTGCCCTATTGAATTATTATTTTGATTAGATTGAACCAAATATGGTGAATAGGAATGAGATCTTCTTTGATCATCAATTTGTGATTGCATTTGGTGTTGTTGTTGTTCAAAAGCATTATATGAATGTCTTCTTTGATCGTCATGAGGGACCATTGATTTATTTTGTTGTGTTGATTGTTGTTGTTGATTTGATAACTGTTTATCATTTTCTTTGTTATTACCATTATTATTTGGTTGTCCTTGAACTGGTGAATTATTATTTGATTGTCTCTGATCATCATTTGAAGGTCTAGTACCAGCAATATTGATTTTTATTTTATTTTTTGGTGAAGCATTTCCATTTATTGGACCCTTTCTTGGTGATTGAGAAGATTGAATTGATAATGATGTAATATTTGGGGTTAAATTACTATTACCATGATTTGATGTTGTATTATCACTGTGAGAATCGTGATCAAATTCATTTGCTCTTTTAAATTTCTTTTGTGGGGTTGGTACTTGTCTATCAGAATTACTAATAATTGGTGAGTTTGCTGATGATAATTTAAATGAGGAAAAGCCTTGACCTGGTACGGCTGGTGAACTTGAATTAGATAATGGAACAGCATGTACATTTGATGATGCCTCATCTGCACCTTCTGATAACATAAACTCTATACATTTTAAAACTTGCTTAACACGCATTTCGCAATCTAAATCTGATAAAATTTTAGGTAAACATTTATTATAGGTTGGATTATAAGTCATAACTGATGGATTACTACTATTAATTGTTGACGTTATACTAGTTGATGATGGTGTGGTTGCTGATCCATGATGATTGTTATGATGACCATTTGAACCAATACTCATATTTGTAATTAATGGTTGTTGTGGTTGCTGTGGGTGTGGCATATGTTACCTGTTGTGGTTGTGGTTGTGGTTGCTGTGATTGTTGTGATTGTTGTGATTGCTGTTGAGGGGGTTGGGGTGTTAATGACTGTGATTGTTGGGTTGGTTGTGATTGATTTAGGGGGGACATCATCATATTAGTATTCATCATGCCCTTATTTTTACTGCCATTTACCCTTTGAGGTGTCAATTGATTTGGTGATATCATTTCTTTTATCTATTATTGTTGTTTAAAAGCCTAAAATGAAGTATAGTTATTTATTAATATTGATTTTTTTAACCTTATTTTTTTTTTATAAGAATTACCTATTGTTTTTTTTTTTAATATTTTTTTAAAAAAAATTTAATATCTTTTGATGGAGCAATTTATTGATTGATTTTTTTTTTTTTTTTTTTTTTTTTGATTTTTTTTTTTTAAAACTATGATCTAAAAAATACTCTTAATTTTTATTATTATTATAAAAGAAATAGAATTGATTGATTTAAGTGATTGATTGAAT